TTGGGGAACAGTAGCCGCGCCCCACATATTATCCGACAATTCATACTCCGAATGTTTGGGTCCTTTCGATACAATGAATCTGTGCTTAGATTTCGACAAAATAGTCACTAATCTCTTCATATTCTCCACATCCGCGCCACCCATAGATCCCATCGAAAAGTATATCAATTTTCCCGGTCTATCCCTCAGCGGCACCGGTATCTCAAACGTGTCCTGTAGTTCAGTCCGTTTAAGATTATCAAATCTATACCACTTTGGAGGCAATGGTCTGATGTCCGCGTAGTCCAACTCCATTGGAAAGCCATAAATATTTAAATACTTTGAGTCCCTATTAAACCGGTTGGTCTCCAAAGGGGGTATACCTCGCGATACCACCCAATCATTGAATGTTTTCCAACCGGGATATTTAGCTGAGTTTTTGGCATCCCTGAAGGCTTTCCACTCGCTTTTAGGGCTATTTATCGATAGACCTAATCATACAAAATAGTATATTATTTGTAAAAATTTAAATTATTAAAGCTTTCCAATAACATGAAAATATAATTTAAAGTTTAAGTACTATATTATAAAATTATTTTTATAAATTATTAAATGATATACTATAATATCTAATTATGGTAATAATATATTAGAAAATATTATCAATCATTATTGTAATAGATTAAATTGTTATTAGTGATCACTAAAATATAACAATAAGTTTAATAATTAATTTTAATTCAAAGGCCAATCACCAGTACCTGACATATTAGGTGGTGTGCGCTCATCCGGTATGAAAACCAGTGGATTGAAACTACATGTGGCCACCCATGGTATGCCCGACAACTCCAACGCCGGTATACACCTATGTTGATCCACAATCACTACATCGGGCTGTATATCCTTCAACAGCCCGTCCACTATCACATCCAAATCCTTCGTCATTTCATTGAACTGTGCTATCAGTTTAATGTTAATATTGATCGCCGTTTCCAATGGTGTCGTGTCTTTAATGCCGCCCCCGTTCACAAACAGGTCGGCCCAGTGTTGAGCCGGGTCTACATCCGTGGGCCTGTCGTCCTGTGCGATGAGCACCTCCTCAATGCCGTACTTTGTGAGCCGACCCTTCCATTGGATGTTTATGGCGAACAGGCACTGGTGTCCGGCGTCTAGTAGTACCTGTGCTATACCTATGGCCGAATTCACGTGTCCGATGGCGTCGATCGGAACGAATAGGACTTTCAGTTTTTGGGCCATTTTTCAGAAGAATTTTATTTTTGTAGATATTATTTCTGATAAAATTACTAAAACTTATTTAAACACTTATAATAAAAATAAATTCAAACAAATTATAGAAATGTAAAATATTTAACGTTTTATTAAAAAATATTTATAAAAACACGTTTTCTTGTCTAACACTTAACTTAAAGAGTGAATGATTTGTTTAATTCGTGGACCAATACTTATATTATAATTTTTAGGGGTTATTCAAATAGCATGTACGTAGTAGTGGATTCAGACTTAAAATTTATTTCCTATCTACAAGTACTCAAGGGTGTCAATATTTACATTACAAACTTTATGAATATAATACAGAGGTGTCCAGACATTATTTATTGATGTTTTTTACAGGTAAACAATTTTAG